ATATTAAACGTCATTACGAACAACACAAATCGAAATATAACAATTACGAAGGATTAATGAGAGAAGAAAAGTTGAAAGAGCTCAAGTTAGGAGTGAAAAAGCAACAGTCCATGTTTAGTAAAGTATTGCAAGAAAGTGAAGCGGCGGTACATGCAAGCTACGTCTTGTCCGAGTTGATAGCTAAACATTCGAAGCCTTTTACTGACGGTGATTTCATCAAGGAATGCCTAATGAAAGCTGGAGAAATTGTTTGTCCTGGAAATGTGAAGGCTTTTCAATCAATTTCATTGTCTCGAAATACAGTTGCGGAAAGAGTTACTGATTTAGCCGCGAATTTAAGTGATCAGATCAAAGCAAAATCATCTAGTTTCGAAAGTTTCTCCATTGCCTGTGACGAGAGCACGGACATTAGTGGCAAAGCTCAATTAGCAGTGTTTCTTCGTTCTTGTGACAAGAATTTTAACATTTTTGAGGAATTACTGGAACTAATACCGATGCCTGGTACTACCACAGGAGAAGATATATTTACTTGTGTTTTTGGACTTCTGCAGAAATACAATCTACCTTTGGCAAAATTAAATTCTGTAGCTACAGATGGCGCTCCATCAATGACCGGGAAAAACAAGGGCTTCGTAGCATTACTAAGAAAAAAACTTAGTGAAATTCACGATTCAAACATTCATCATATGCATTGTATTATACATCAAGAAGTTCTATGCACGAAAGTAATAAATATGGAGAATGTTTTGTCATATATAAAAAAGTTATAAATTTTATAAGATCTCGAGGTTTAAATCAGCGTCAATTCACTGCTTTCTTAAGTGAGTTAGATAGTGAATATTCGGGTTTGTCCTACAATAACGAGGTACGCTGGTTATCTTGCTAAAAGATTCTCAAACAATTCTGGGATTTGAAAGAAGAAATATGTCAGTTTTTAAAAACGAAAAATCAAGACGTAAGTTTGTTTTACGATCCAATATGGATACAAGATTTATCTTTCTTGGTTGATATAACCAAACACTTAACCGATTTAAATTTATCGTTACAAGGAAAAGATCATATCATTACGAACATGTTTGACATAATTAAAGCATTCAAATGTCAACTAGTTCTTTGGAAAAAAACAACTTAAAAATGAAGATTTGACGCACTTCCCGACGTGCAGCATGAACAAATCAAGTTTAGATGATACTTGTTCGTATCAAAAATACGCAGAAAAAATTGCAAATTTAACAACTGAATTTGAAACGAGGTTTAATGATTTTAGTTCCCTCGAAGACAATTTTTTTTTTTTTTTTTTTTTGTTTTCTTCGATTTTCTCAATAAGTATTGACTCAGTACCCAGCCATATGCAAATGGAGGTGATCGAGATTCAATGCAACTCAAATTTGAAAGCAAAATTCATTGAAGTGGGCGTGCCTGAATTTTACAAATATTTACCAGCCAGGTTTGAAAATACTCGAAAATTCGCATATGAAATTATTTCCATGTTTGGTAGCACTTATCGGTGCGAGCAGTTATTTTCAGTCATGAAAGGTAATAAGTCTCCTATTAGAAACCGTATTAATGATGCTCACCTTGGGTCAGCGTTGAAAGTTATCACTGCAAACAAAATTTCTCCCGAAATAGGAAAGATAATAGCAGAGAAGAGATGTCAAGTATCAGGACGTAAACATTAAATTTTTCTTGTTCTTTTCTATATAAATATATATATATTGTTTATTATTGTATTATTCGAAATAAATCTACGTTTCTATGAATATTGATTTTTTTTTTTTTTTTTTTTTTTTTTGCGGCCGCCCTAAAGTTAAACCTTGTTTGTTTGGCCCAAGTGTACCTATGAGTTTGACATCCCTGCCTTAAATGAAGCCTCTTCGCTGTACATAAAGCCCGAGCAATACGGGTACTTCAGCTACTTTTAAATTGAACCAAAGAAAAAAATTTCAGGGCAAGCTTAATTTCCAATGAATTATTGAATGTGCTGTCGAATGAGTAGACCGTTATATCCGCTCTTGATTAATAGTTATTCGCAGAGTTATTACTAATATATAATTGCATTTTCTAATTGAGTATAAACGCTATTCAGAAAGTAACTAATCCCCCCCAAACTATAATACACAGCTAAAAAAACAAATTTGTTACTATATTTATTTATTTACTTTGTTTTAATAAATTAATTTTGTGTGAGCATACACATCTATGATATGTGTAAATTCTCTTCGGTTTGAGAAATATTTAATTCATGCAATTAAATAAGTAAAACAAAAATTCAAAATGTAAAATATCCGAGGAAATTAATAAAAAAATATATACCTGGAAATTTGTTCATGTTTCTTCAGATGTGATTTTCGGTTACAAGCATGTAACATTGGACTAAAATTAATATTTTGCGGTAGTGTTAAAGTAGAGCACTTCATAAAAAGAGCTGTAGAAAAGTATTTTCTACCCTTGAGGCGTAGTATTACTTAGCAGAATTTCGGGGCAGAACTTCAGCTTAAAGAGTTTCGGTTTTCTTCTCTAAGGCAATAATTTCCAAATATTCCATTGTACATCATGTGCATCATAATATCATGATGAATCATGTAATTGAACAAGGATTACGAGCTCTGAACCGCATTTACTGTTTTTCATTTCTTCCTTGCCATTATGTTGTTCTCTGCAATGCACTGCGTTGAGAACAATAAGTTCCTAAATAGCAGAGCCTTTCCCAAGTTTTGTTCTTGTTAAACGTAACTCCCAGAGGTCATGTCGTTCCATATGACACAACATCGACATTTCATGTCTTCTGTCGCTGCTTTGTTGGCATATAAACGCGCGATCCTCATGCTTCCTGTTTAAACACTTTCAACAGGAATGTTACCTTTTGTTCCGCAAGGAAACGTTGGGACAAACGGTTGAACGCTTTATGTTGTCATTTATCTGAACTCTGCAGTGACCCGCTGTCATGCTTAAAAGCGCATTTTATGTATTAATGAACATCCTGTTTAAACACTGACTGTTGATATTCTGAACTTTATGTTTCTTGTGAAAATGCTGTCTTTTAAGCTTAAAATCCTATTTATTTCATATTTTTAAGGCATTTAGAAATAAAAGTGAATCTCGAGATATCTTTATGTGGTTTTTCGTATTGACACATATTGCTGTAAGTAAATATTTGAAAGCTTGTATGCATGGTGATAGAGGATCTGGCTAAGATAGCGCAGATTCTAATCCTAAAGCATGGAAGTTTGTAAGTGTACAGTGCCTTTGAGGAATTTAGGAATTTAAAATACGATCGAGCGTAACATCTTTTCGAGAGGTAGGTGGAAGGCGAAGACGGATCCTTCTCCCAGATTCTGAGATCCGTCTCTCATGGAATTCCCCCTAAAAACAGAGCTGGGCAAATTTATTCAAATTAATGAGTCCGAGGCCTAAGTCAACGATTCTTGGGTATGATAAAATTCTTGGTCTTGATTTGATGTTTATTCCAGACAAATGTAATAAGTCACAGCAACAAAATAATGCTGTTATTGAATTTTTTTAATATAGATACTTAGCAATCCCCCCCCCAAAAAAAAAATCTGAAATGTTTCAGATTTTAAATTACGTCCAAAGGGGCGTTTTTTAACATTTTGTGTGTTACCTTTCTTTATTAAATATCATGTTCCTCGCACTTAAACCATAAGATCCAGTGCAACAGCAATATCGCAAAATAGTTTTAAAACGAGCATATCTTTAGAATTTCCGATACAGAGACTCACGCGCTGGAGATAAAAATTTTTTTTCTGCACAACGTTGCCATTGCTCGCTTTGAAATCCTTGAGTTTGTTAATCAAAAATTCGTCAAAGTTTTAAAAAATAGGAAATCGATCATAAAACAAATTTCAAATTTCAAATTTGGTCTTCCACATGCTCATATTCGTTGGAGGATTACGTTATTCAAAATTCGATGACTCTATGTACCGTTGTTTTATCACAATACGAGAAATATGCATACATTTATGCAGATTTTTCATTATTTAATTTCTTCAAAATATAATGCAGGACTCTAACATTTTGTGGCAACAGTTTGAAAAGTGAACCGACATTTATGAGTCCGACGCAAAATGCCAAAACGAAACTAATAGTCCTTCGGGATTCAAATCCCTTTGGACTAAAAAAAAAAGATACATTTGGTTCATCAGATATATGTTTGAAATTCTTGAGGATTTAAATTCAAAATTCTTTAATAGGATAAAGCAAATAAAGAACCTTTTTTGCCTCACGAAATTTAATGTAAAAGCGAGTAGAAGTGGAAGTACTGTGTAGTCTTATGACGCATTTGTTGAATTACTTTTCAGTTTAAGAATGTTTGCTTTTTTTACCTTAAAAATTCCTTAGATTCAGACTGATTTTTCAAAATGTATTTTGTAGCTTTTCCGTTATTATTTAATATAACTTCATGTATGCATATTATGATTAAATTAACAGGTATTCATTTGCTATATACTTTAAGAAGTCATTTAATTATTTTGTTGAAATTAGTAATCATTAAGCAAGTGTTAAACAAATATTAATATTTATATCATTTTACCAGAAATAAGGGGATGTGGCAGATTCACTGGCATCAAGTAAGTATAATATATACAGGAAATGGGGCATGCTTGAGGCCTAAATTGTTCATTTGTTGGCATTTCTCTCTTTGTTTAGCAAAGAAAGAAAATTAGAATTCAAATGTGTGAAGACGGGTTAAGTAAAGAAAAAGCTGCTAATAGAGTGTAATTATGATAATGCATTCTCAGCTGTAAACTAAAAAATATATTCACGAAGCTTATTTTGACCAATATAAAAAAGTTAAATTTTAAACAGAATTTCTATGTTCAGATTTCAGAAGCGTTATTGGATATTTTTCTTATTTACAACGTTTTATTCCTTTAATTTTTATTAATTAATGTGTTTTTAGTAGTAATATGTTTCATGGGATGTGAAACACCTGGAGTTTTCCAGTTAGATTTATTAGTCGTTTTGTTCTTTGAATGTAGGAGAAGATATCTGCTGCCGAAGATGTGGACTGCAAAGATCTAAACATTGAATTGGAGGATAGAAATATCAAACGTCGTGATTCCTCTTCTCTGCTGTCTCCTGTGGAGAGCGATGTTGTCCTGACCCAACTGGAAGAGCAAAGCACAGTGTCTGACCAAGTTTGGGATGGCTACCAGGTGAGTGTGATTCTATGTAAACTCGGTTTATATAGTGGTTTACCTCATTTGGTATTTGATATTAGCATGAGTGAAAGTAAACTGCGAGGGTTACCAAGTGAGCGTACCTTTCATAGACTAGGGTTTACTGTTAAACTTACCTCTGAATCGACAATTTCAATACGGTAAGTTACTAATCAATAAGGGTACGTTTGGAAGCAAACTAGATGAACAATAATGTGTGATATGATAATAAAATACATAACGCTAGTAGGGAATCTTTTGATCTTGATTATATTGTTATGCATTTAAATATAATACCATAAGAACTTCAAACGTCACTATGATTTTGTAGGTTCTGTAAGAAGCAAAGTCATTAAAATAATTTTAGTCTATTTTTGAAAGTTTTTGAGCTGTATAAATTTTATGAAAGAAGTAACCGAAAGCCGATGTTTGCATGGTCAAGAATATTATTACTTACTGTATGTCTGTGTATTTTGTTAGAATTATTGCTAATTTTGTATTTTTGAATTTTGTTTATTTCTTGCAGTACTGCTGATTCGAAAAACATTTATGCAGATATCTGTTTTTAAATTTCGTGGACTATATGTTTCACGAGCAAACAGAGCGATGCATTATTTAAGAAGACAAACTCGTATCAAGTGTCAGAAATAAACAGAGCTTTTTCCTGAAGTTATTCATAATTTAAATCTGAATATCACCTAAAGTTATTGTATTTAAATCTGAATATCCCCTAATGTTATTGCATTTAAATCTGTGAATCCTACACTTTTAAAAGTAAATAAAGTATGTTAAATTCTTAATAAAAATTAAATCACATTATTGTTTTTAACATTTTTAATTAAAATTTATCTTTCATATGTGGATGATTCACAACGATAAATTTCTAAGGGTACAAACATCCTCACTTTGAAAAATTTTATTTTAAACATTAGCCAGTTAAAAACGCAACAAAGAGCTTTAAAAATGGAGTAAAAAAAGTTGTCATTCGAGATTCAGTTTTTAATAGTATTTTTTCACACATCTTTTTATTTGACACCGACTTTTTGAGATGTATCCAGGGTTAAATTAGACACTTGAGAATATACTTGTATCATATTACAAAAACTTAGAATGCGTCAGGAGATCTTAAAGTGCGAATAATGGAAGTTTAAGAAGATGATTCTAAGACAAAGAAATTAATGAACATGATTAACTTTGGATAAGAATGATCTCCATTAGAAGACCAAAAAGGTCAGTGGGAGACATACTTGAATGAGCATTAATAGTACGCAATGATTTGTTTTAGCTAATAATACATATTATATTATTTTAATGTATGATCGAAATTAATATAGTTATGTTCCTTTAAAGTACCAATGTTGTTCGAATTGTACTTGTTCCGAGTATTAACTATTCTTGCATTGTTCCCTTAGGGTGCAGACATCTCAAACCGATAAAAAGCTCGATGTTTCTGTTTCTGTTTTAAAGTTTTTCTTCCTTCATTATCATCACATTTATTGAATGTGTTCTAGAAAGTATCCCCAAATCAGAATTTTATCTTCATGTCGTCCTAGATGATCTTTTCCCGCGTAGGATAAGCATTCAATTTAGGCACCGGCATTGTTTATCTTAACCTAATTTTCCTTTCCTCTCCTCCTTGAAATCGTGTTCCTTTAAGAAATTATTCCTGAATTATCTTCGTTATGGGTGAATTCGTTTCTTTTTTCGTCTTAGCTGATGAACGTTTGAATGACATTCATATCCTATAATTTCAAACAGATGCATCTAACGGAGTGAAGTTCTTTGGGAGGGGTATGAATATCGAAATATTTATTTGTCAGTGTGGTAATTATTCACTATTCACTTTGCAGTTATTGTTAAAATATAAATTCTTAAAATTCTTATGTTTTGTTTTTAATTTAAGATTCAAATAATTCAATATTTCTCATTATTAAACCTTATATTCCTTATTATTATTATTATTACTCTTTATTCTTTGTTAAAAAGCTAAAATATTTTTTTAAATATTCTTAATTTTTTTTCTTTTTTACGTCTTAGTAATGTGTGCCCTTAAATTTATTTACACATTGCATTTTGCTAGTCACTTTTACGGAGAAAGGTTGAATTGTGAGTTTTTTTTTTTTTTTTTTTTTGCTTGCATTGCTTACTACTTAGTTTCTGCTGTTTGCTTGTTGGTAACTTTATCTCCTTGATGTTGGTTGGTCTTTTTGGTCACTTGAATCAAACTTTGAAATTAATTTTTTCTTTTCTTGCATATTTCTTGCATTTAATTTAGTACTTGTATAAAACGAGAAATTTAATTTTATACGTGTATTAATTTTATGCTTTTATGTTTTATATTTGCATGTATCAAATTTTAAAATATATTCTCTTGTTTACATGTTTAATTTGAAACTATTTTTTATTAATCCGCACAACATTAAGGTGTGCTTATAAACCATTTAGAACTTTCTTTATGATTTAAGTCGAATGGGCATGTGCAGGTAAAACTATATGATGTAGACATATATTTACATATAAAAGGTTTCAAGTTTTAAAAGTAAGAAAAGAGAATTTAAAATTTTCACTGTTTTATTTTAGGGTTACTTTAATTAATGCACGAGAAATGTTCCCTTAATTTTTCTATATTTGTCTTTAACGCAGAATTTTCATTAATTTAAATAAAATTTTTGTCAAATGTGCATTAAATTTATTGTTGAATTGTAATAATGCCTACTTGTAAAACTGTTTTCTGATAGAAAAATACTAATATTATCTAGAATTGCAGTCTCGAAAGCTTCTCTTAACTCTTACGTCAAATTTCAAAATGCATGTTATTAAAGACTTTACCAATGAAAAATAAATTTAATCAATCAATTAAATATTTTGGAATTTTTCCATATACTCATTTTCTCTTAATTACGGAAATTAGTATATTATTCATAAAAATTTTATTAATTGAAGTTTAAAGCAATTTTTTCAAAGCATGTATTTTAAATTACCTTAACTGTTTTTACAGTAATATTTACGTATATATAATAATTTTTTTGTCTATGCTCTTATTAACCAAAATAGAGAAGCTTAACATTTTACAACATGGGACAAAAACTATTTAAAAAAAAGTATTGCAGTAAAATATATTCAGAATACGAATAACATAAAACTTTGGTAATTAAGATTTAATGAAATATCAGTAGTATAATTCTACATTTTTTTTTTTTTTTTTTTTTTTTTTTTTTTTTTTTTTTGTTAAGAGGGAACAAAAGTGCAGATTTCAAATCTCAGGTACAACAGGAAATCGCTGTTCCTTGTTATGAAAAATTATGTAAAATAGCTGTGGCAAGAACTTCGGTTCGTGAAAAGTTTCACACTGATTTTCTCAGCTGAATAGAGGTGGCAAATTTATAAATAACTACTTAAAATATCCAAGGTATTTATGCAGAGCGGCTCTGAGCTTCACTGAGATATCAGTTCATATAAAATAGCATCCTGGAACAGAACTGTTTCTAGTCTCGATATCAAAATTCCTTTTGCTACCTTGAATACTTACAATTATGTAACACATAAATTGTGTCGAGCAAACAGATTCGAAACGTGCGCATATATGTATATTTGGTTGTGTATATAAATTTGTGGAATTTACGTACTTTCCTGTCGAACGTGAAAGTCTGCGGAAACGCCGCCAAACTTGTGCCATTCATTCCCGCAGAAGCATTGAACAATAGATCGATGTTTATTTAGTAATTCTTGATCCCTCGGGTCTCGTTCCTTGTTCTCGGGTCTCGTTTCTTGCTCGGGTCTCGTTCTAATGAATATTTGCTTCTCACAATTTTAGGGTTGCTTTGTCATTTTTTTATTCGTTTTCAAATCAAATAACATATTGTACACAATAACTATACCATATAACTCACACTTTTTCAATGTCACAATCCTATAACTTTGGAATGGCTCTGTTGCATGGTGGGTCTTAAAAGACAGGCCCGAAATTTTAATAATTTTTTAATGCGAAGAAAAAACAGAGAACTAGTAGTTATGTATCCTTCTTTACAAAACTAAACTATTTTATTTAGGATATATCGGGGGTTACATAAAAACAAGGCGAAGATCCGAAAGGTTATGATATCAGGCTTACCTATTATTGGCGCTAAATCACACCATTTGGCGACAAGTTTTACTTATATGCAAAAAATGGTGGACAAGGATAGTGCCTTAAGTACCTTTGTATGCTGACTTCTTACCTTTTTTTATGCTACCCTTTTCCTTTATACAGGACATGCCGTACTTGAGTGAGGCATATTCTGAAACCACGGTGGACGAGGACGCTATCAGGAAGCTGATAGAATTTGGTGATGACTACGGCTCTGCCATTGGTCAACCCATGCGCTTGTTGGACGTTGCTGACGGTAACAACAACAAAACAGAAATTTCCAAATTGCCTTCCAAAAAAACATCAAAGGTGAGTGTTGCTAATTTTCATATTTTTAGTTTTTAAGCCCGATGGGACAAAAAAAAATATTTAACGAACATGCAATTAGAATTTTGATAAAAAAATAATGAAAATAAAAATTGAAGTCGTCTGTTTATTTAAATGCCTATATTTGTTTTACGAGAGCAGATTTAAGGTATAGAGAAAAAGCTATGATTTCCTATTAAAAGAAAACCCAATTACTCATTCAAATGTTGGTTAAATTTTGTTTTGCTTCAGGAAGTTGAGGATTATTTATTGAATGCTGATAAAGTTTTTACCCTTATTGTGCTGTTTAAGAGCTATTCGTTCCTTTCTTTTTATTCCTAAACTCTTTATGAAAAATAAGGAAGTCAAAAACAGAATTTTTTTGTTCATTAGGCAGTAAATTATCCGTGAACAGGCCTTCCGTTAAATAACGTGCTGTGGAATTTTGATTAACCGTAAAATGGATTGCTTCAATTCAAAAATTGTTTAAGCAAATGCGTTAAGCTTTAACCAAATGCAAATGCATTAACTGACCAATAATTTTTTATTTAACATATCATGGTCATTTATTTCTTAATGCTGTAATTATGTTAATGCGTTTCATTTTATTTTCTTTTAGCAAGCCTTCATTTAATATGATATTTATAGATGTTTCCAGGTTTCCAGTTGCTGTGGCTATAGATCAGACATGGTTCAGTTTTAATCGCAGAGTCCTTTGTTGTTGTTTACTGGATCGAAACTCTGAAAGTAAATTGTTTAAGTCATTAGTCTCTGAAACTTACACACGATTAATTAGCTGTAACTATATGAAAATACTTCAGGAATATAGTCGTAGTCAAAGGTAAAATTACGATGTTATTGCTTTTAAAAGGGTAATCCAGCTGTTGCCCTGATATTGCTGGTATTGTGATGCTGCAGTCTGATGTCTGAATGAGCGATCTGACTTTACAGTTCTAATCTTTAACTGTGATAATTTTTCATCTGCATTTCTTTACATTTGTAAAGAAACTGGAAATGAAACTTATGTCCCAAATAAATGTTAAATGGAAGGCGAGGCGAGTTCTAAATTTTAGCGAATCCGAATCTTAGAAGCTTTTGGTACCTTTCGTATCTCGAATATCTCATATCCTTCATATAAGAATAATAAAAAGAAGAAAAGTAAACCTTTACTTGTTATTAAAAATTTTTAATTAGAATAAATTTTTAAAGCTGCTTTTAATTAATTTAAATTCATCTACATAACTAGGGTGAACAACTATGAATGAGCCTTTATTGGTTGAGCGTTAGGAAGGGTATTTGTGTGTGAATGGACTGTCAAGATCGTTATGTTAGGTTGCCTAGATTAAAGGAAGCCAAATCAGTTGGTTTGCATCGAGCTTCGTTTAGTAGTCGTCACGATGAGTGAGAAGAGATGCTCGTCTCAGCTGAACAACGCATAGTTGTAATATTCAGCAGCGCATAATTTGGGAGCTCCTCAACAGCGAAAACGTGAAACCAGGAGAAATTCAGATTGTAGGCTCTGTTTGAGAAAGGAACCCTTTCATAGTCAAGAATGAAGGTTTGGTGTTAAACATTTAAGCAATGCCGTGTTGCAAATTAAGCTCATCCCTGTCACCGTCGCTAAATGATGAGCGATGTTGCTGAATGATGATGAAGATGCTGCGCGAATTAACATTTCTCAACTATTTTAAATTCGTCTCGAAGAAATAGAAGCTTTTTTTTTGGGGGGGAGGGATAAAATCGTAACCTGTGGCGAGATATGAGTGCATCATTATAGCCCAGAATCAAAGCGTGCAAGCATGGAATTGAAAAGGAAAGGCGAAGGAACAGCATGCAAGCCAAAACTCCATTACCAGCGAACAAAGGAGACTTCGTAAAAATGTGGACTTTTCAGAGAGCGCTAGACCTGGATCTCTTTCCCGGGAACCTCAAAGGAACCTGCTATATTGGTGTTGCATTAACCAGGTTGCATTATCCAAGGTCCAGAGACCTCGTCCTCGGCGGCGCAGACCCACAGTTTCTGCCCGGCTTTATACAAAGCGTAAGACAGAACAATTAACGAAATGCATCGAAATTGATGAGCTAATTTCTCTCACTCAACTCTGTTTGAAACAAGCACATTTCGTTTTCCAAAATAAATATTAAAGCAAAACTGGGATAGCCATGGGAAGTCCCCCTCAGTCCCATCTGGCTGATATCTCATGCATTATTATGAATCAAAATTGTTTGAAAATAAACTTCCCGCGGCATGGTTCCGCTACGTAGACGTACTTTACCCTGTTTGAAGGTAATAAAGATGATTTAAATAAAGTTCTTTCAACAATGATTCTATTGATATGCCTATCAGTTCACTTTTGAACTGAGACTTGCATTCTCTTCGTTTCTCGAGATTCTGGTCACAGAACACATCCAACTTCAGTACGACAGTTTACCGTAAACCTTCATCGGTTTGCCTTCCACCACACTTTAAATCATGTCATCCGACTAAACAAAGTTAGCTTCTTTTATTCCTATGTTTTTCCGTGCTCTTCAAGTTTGCTCCTCCAAATCAGCTCTTGATCAAGAACTAAATTATTTAAAGGCAGTTAGCTATTGACAGGGGCTTTTTTTCACCCAACAGTATTAACCGTGCAGTTGAAATTTCTCATCGGAATACACTCAAAAGGTACAACCCTTGTTTTAGGTTTTTATAGAAATTACTGTTATCATTCCTTTCTTTCCGTCAATTAGCAATAAAAGTTGCACGTATTTTGCAGAAATTGAACTTTCGGGTTGTTTTCTACCCTATCAATAAAATTCCAACTTCTATACTCAAGGACCCCATTCCGGATATGAATTCCTGGGGTATTTATAGGATTCCTTGCCAGTGTGGTTTAATTTACATTGGCCAAACTAAGAGAGCCTAAAATTTCGCGTCAAAGAACATGAGGCATATGTTAGAAAAAAGGAAACACAGAGGTCTTCTGTTGCTCAACATTGTTCGTCGAAATCCTTTCAATTTTCTTTTTCTGCTGCCAAAATTATTCAAAAAACATCTTCCCTTGGAGAACTGGATTTTCTAGAGGCATTTCACATTCATAAAAATCTTTCTGTTCTAGTTTAACGATCCTAATTCCAATCCAAATTTGCCTTCGGGCTTTTAGAGAAATTATGTTTTAGTTCTGGTTCGCCAACAGATGGCGCCACTTGCTTATTCTTGTCCAGGCTTTCTTATCTTATCTAATCATTATTTCCTATCTTGTTCATTTGCGGTTTTGCAGCTGAAGATGATGGTTCGGTAAAACCATCGAAACTAGTCCTGTGAAAATTTTGTAGGTATAACGCTGATTTTTGTTGTTTGACTTCTGAATTAGAACAATTAACGCTTTAACATAAACTTTATTTTTTAAAAAAGGCTTGTTCATACTTGATCTACCCTCATATATTGAAATGCATACCCAGGCTTTTATTATTCGCGGTATAAAACTATGGATGAACTCTGATCAATTGCATTTTCCGTTTTGTTCATTAATTATCAAATCCATTTTAAATAAAAGATTATTGTATAAAAACCTTTTTTTTTTTTTTTTAATAAATTCTTTCGCTGGATATTATAAAAACTAATTTTTTCCGAGTTAAAGGTTTACCACTTTTTTTCAAATAGGATTCGAAATATGTGAATCAAGAATAAAAGGTAAAATTCAAGTATTCGATTTTTGACTTCTTTTTGGAATTTATGCGAATTGAGGATTCGATTGCCCCATCCTTTAACGACAGAATTTCTTTCTATGGTTCCAGTTATGTGATGATATAAGGAGGGTTGAACTGAACTTTTTTATTTTTATTTTTGAAAGCAGCAAATAAGTAATTTCTACCGCTTTAAGTACTTTTTTTCTTTGCTTTTCACTATAAGTACTTTCTTTCTTTGCTTGTCAAAGAGCAGTTGTCTGAGTGCCAGAAGCAAAGCCTTCGAAGATTTTTTAAATTTTTTAAAGGGAAATCCATTGGATTCACTTAATATTAGCAGAAAACTGGCAAAACTCTAATTTGCACAAGTATGCTGGTGCGCTATGTAACATGTTTGTGCTTGGATACCGAAAGTACGAATAATGTCACAGACTGTGGTGTTTTTTACAGACAAAAGTGCTGATCACATCAACATTTTTATTTCTTCTTAATATATGAAGCGGAGTTCAAAACGTTCTTATTTAAATAATTGTTCACAACCTAGCAGTAACGTAAGTTATAGAAATGGATACTAGATGTACGTATTGTATGTGAATGTAGTTTCACTTGGTGCACAACAATCATCCCGTTATACAGCTGTCAAATAAATATTCTGACGTATTTTCAATGGTAATAAAAATTCTAATAATACCGCTTGGATAATATGAATGTCTTTATTCATATTCATATGTATCATACCTTGTTCTTTTACACTTTTTAATACTGATAATTTTTCAATTGAATCAATTCATTCTCTTCGATTGAAGCAGAATAAAATATCGCATGTCTGCATCAATTCATTTATTGTTACTGATCGTTATTTTTCTCTCTGCATAGACTCTTTCTTTACCGCCATCTCAACGTCAGTCAAGTCTGAGTAACGATTCGGATTCCGATTCCGAAGATCTTCATCACGTCATCGAGGAAACAGCGAAAGCATTACAGTTTGCCCGAGGAACACTTAAAAGGAGGCAGTCAGGAGACTTTTTATCTTCCGCCGAATACGTGAGTTGAAATAAAATTTAACTTATAATTTTTATTTATTTATGTGTTTATTATTTTCTAATTTACAGTGAACGCGTAATAGGAAGCTGGTATTTAATTATTAAACTTGTTTCTGTTCTGTTTGTTCGTGTTTCTGTTCAGTGATTAAGTGACCTACTATCTATGTAATTAAGAATTTTCTATCTAGCTTAGGGCCACAATACGATAGTTTAATCATCGAATGCAAAATAATGAAACAAAAATAAATGTGTGAATAAATAATGATAATAAAGGTATGGTGCAGAAGTCCAGTTGTAATTGAATAGAATAACGTTCATTATTCATCCTGTATTGAAAAATTATGTATTTACAGATTTATTTTTAAGTATTAACGGATTGAAAATAGTAAATAATAAAATAAATCTTCTGTTCAGATGTAGCTAGCTTTTTAGAATATAAAGATAGGTTCAATAATAGATAAAATTATAAGAGTTAATTTCAAGAATTTGTCTAAAAAATTTTTATTGTTGAATGTTTAAATTCTCCAATAAGCCTCTCCACTAAATACTAATTCACGATACTTTTGCGATAAATAGATAGTATTGTTTTATTCAAACTATTGAAGTGAAATTATTAATGTGCAAAATTGGGAGATTAATTCAGGAAGACATAGTGATAAAGCACTATTTTAGAATACTTCATGTTTCCTTCTGTCTTTGACAAAAAGTAATATTTAATAGCGTAGTGAGAAACAAAGGAAAAGACTGAAGATTCAAATATAAAAATTAAAATATATGTGACCCAAAAGTCCGTTAACATTTGAAAATTCAATAATTCACTGAATAATATAGGATCTATATTATTAGTTTTTAGTTGTTTAATGCCTCGAATGAAATCTCTTTAAGGTATATATTGCTTTCAATTCATGTATTTTACATAATGGCGAAACAGAAAATATCATTAGTTAAGAGAAATAGTCGTTGTAATCCTGGGAACCGGTGAGATAAATATGTCTTATATAATTAAGTTTTTATTTATTAAATAAATGCATAAATCCCTTTACATAAATTTACAATGAAATAATATCACAGCAATTTTCTTCCGATATCTAGTCTTCTGTCTCGCTGTTTTAGACAGCTGATCTTAAATATGGTATTTTATGTTCACATCCTTAATTTCTTGAGGTTCTTAACTGGAAGATCTTTCGCAATTGCTTGAGTTAAGCATACCAGTATCAAATTATTTTCAGTTTCGTCAAGCAAGTCAGTTATCTTAAAATGTTAAGACTCAAATTTATAGAATACTTTTTGTAATTCTTTGAAATTATAATGGGGATCTTTTTGAGCTATAAAAGTGTGATTCCAAATTTTCATATTGGAGACTTTTTTAAATATTTTTATATATATTATTTAGTTAACGTAAAAGTTACCTACTCTTCATCGTTTTAGGTTTTCATAAATAACTTACTGCTAGCAGTGTTAGTAGTATATTTGTCCTACAGATGGCGGCAGCTGTTTAATCACAAGGAAAGTAGAAGAGCAAAACTAAGCATTATTCATAATTGTCAGAGAAAGTTATACTATCTTGCATGCCTATGATATAAAATTTGTTGGTAGGGAGACCGTAATAGTTGAGATTCTAAGTATTTTTCCATGGAGGTAGGAAGTAAGATGGAGTCGCCCTAAACAAGTTTCTCCGTACCCCGCTCTGAAGCACCGGCGATCCCTACGTGGTGACCAAAACATTGGGTCATTTACCATTGAGTTCTATGGGATTTGACGCGTTCGGGTGTAAATATTTTGTAATTACGTTGCAAATATACATATAAATGTATATATTTTCTTTTTCTACAACACTTCAGAGTCCTAAGTATGTGAAAACAACATATTTTTAAACATTTCATTCTGAACGGAATTAAATGCTATACTTTTCACAGGACAGTTTTCTCAGAATGGTTTAATTTGAATGAAATATTTTCACAAGTTTTCGTTAATTACATTAGAAAAAAAAATTAAGGTAATTCGATTTTATTCGGTTAAGGTACAAAAATTAAGATCAAAGTTTATTGTATTATTAATATTAAAATTATGCATTATTTCTTTTCTATTTATAGAGCTTCTTCCTAAAATACTTTCTTAAATATTACATGATTTTTTGGCTTCTTTTAAATCGAAAAAATGTAAGTCAATTTATAATTAATGCTCTATTCGCGGTTCATTTTAAATTAGAGAATTATTAGAAATTAGCGAAATACTTTAAATAGTACTTAACTTTCTCTGAACATTTCTGAAAGGGAATAAATAAGGATTTTTTTAAAGTATTATTTAAAACTTGGTAACTGAGTTATTATAAAATGTAAGGGAATAATCTTTTAATTATACTTATCAGTTTTTTTTTTTTTTTTTTTTTTTTTTTTGTTTTTTTTACCCTTCATTTCAACAATACATATTCCAAAACTCTTTATTACGTTCTTAAGTGCGCATCTCATAGCATTTGCTTTACAATACCTTTTAACAGATTGCTTTCCAATACGAACAATTCTTGCTTAAATAGTTTTATAACGTATTTGTCAACAGGATTTCAATTTGTGTTTACAATTCAATATTAGGTATTATATATTTAGATAACATTTATAATCATTATAAATTAGATACATTTAATCATTAGATTTCTTCACAGTACTTTCACAGTTGTTTATAAGTGAATAAATTCTTCATTTCAAATACATTATAAATAATTTAATGAATATTTAAGTATTTGTCAAAGGCAGATACATGCTTTTTGCAAGCACATGCATAAATACCCATACATATTTCATATTTATCATTTCCGGCATGTGCAAATCTTTAATTTCTGTGCATTCACTATATTTTTCGTGTAAAGTAATTTACACTAATTTAGCATACACCCGAAAGTTTTTACATAAAAAAATATATATATGAAATATAATTTGAATGAAAATTATAAGTATTATTTTTAATACCCACTCAAAGGTCAGTTTTTCTTCAAAATTCCTCCATGATGGCATCTCTCTCTTTAGGCAGATAGCCCTTGCATGCGTTACTCTATTTAATAAAAACTTAATCTGACCTATGTGCCTAATTACAAGTATTTTATCATACATAATTTTATATTTACATTTAGCCATCAAGTTTCAAACTTTTCAAATCTTCTAGAAAATAAATTTTGGCAGATCTCTTTTAGCAATTTTCTTAAAATCTATATTTTTGTAGTGCAACAGCTTAGAATTTTATAAAACAAATTCATAATCATAATTGCTGTTGTTAGTTATCGAAAAATAACCAAGATGCGATTTTTGCGTAAATGTCTGTAAACTATACAAATTGCTATTATCCATCACACTATGAATGTTTCTTTCATGCGAGAGTGTTCCTTTTTCGATTTCTATGGAACTGTCGTGTGTCGAAATACTATCAGAATCTTGTCAAGCGAGCTTCTGAATGTAAACAAAGAACATCCCGTCTGGTGACCCAAGCTTCAAAGCAGTGCTTCACTTCTAGCGCGGAATGGCCCCTCCTCCCTTTCCTACCTCCATGTATTTTTCTCCTGTTAAATAACTCTGTCGTAAGGTGTTTATTTTGTGGAAGAAAAGGAATAGTATTGCGCAGTAAAGCTTATCTTTCCTCAAATGTTAAAGCTTTTGATGTATTTTCCTATCTCCATGATGAGTACTTCCGACTTCTCAGTCACTTCTATAATCTAGAAATCCTTTTCCGATTAAAAAAAAAAAAAAATCACATTAAATAGTCTTATACGTATAGAAACTTGCACATTTAGCGGTAGAAATGAAATTTCTGTAGTGTTGTCAAACAAACTGAACACTTTTATTAAAAGCTTTCTTATCATTCCGATAAACAAGTTTAAATCGCGAAATTTTGTTAAGAGAATAAATATCTGTCTTTATCGATGAATAAATGAAAGAAATATTAGCCGCTTTAAGGAATATATTATGATGTATTTCATAACACCATAAAAAATTAAATAACTTCGTATATTTTTAGCACACAACAAGATACATATACAAGGAGGCTTTGCTTTATAACAAGATTTATATATAAAATGGCAAACTCGAAAGCAGTTTTTCTACGAGAAACATTTTCTTTTTCCGTCTGCTTCAGAATGTAACTCATTTTTTTAAAAAACGTAGAAAATCACTCAATTAATATTTTCTTTGTCATTTTTGTTTTAAAATAGGCCCAAAATATTGTTTTGGAATTTGTTCGTTTTTTATTGAAAACCGCACAAATTCCGATAAAAACCGCACCTTTTAAAAACCTGTTGCATTTTCAAATGTTCAAATTTTAAATCATAAACATCAAATAGTCTACAAAAACCGAACGGTTTTAAAAAATTCGCTAAAAATTCAAAAATTAAGTTATAATTTTCATAGAAATTTCATTGAAAAGACTCTTTTCCGCTTTATTCGTTGGTGCAAATAGTAGAATTCTGTTATTTTTAGTTATGTGCGAAAAATCACTCTGACATTCATTTAAAAAAAAAAAAATCTAAATGGAATTTTGAAAAAAAAAATCACTTTATGATGTTCCATTATCATCGACAAATAGTGTGTGTACAAAATTTGAACTGGATAGTTTATCAGGAAGTGGGTTGAACATCAATGGCAGAATTGCACTAACAGTAAAACACCGCTAAGTGTATTAAATGAAAGCTTATAAAACGTTATCGATCATTCTAAAAACTAGAGATGAATTTGGCACTTCACTTAACGATGTATGTTTTCAAGTCGAATTTTAATTTAACTGTAGCATTTCCTGCATACTTCCCCACAGGACTGAAAGTATGTTTGGAAATAACATCTACTGTGACATCTGAATGAAGTGTTACACTAGAATCTGTCCCGTTACTTCGAAGATAAACAATTTTTTCAACGTTTGTGGCAGCTGGATTCAATATAATCATTCTTAAAGACCATTGGCGTATTTACGTAAAATGGCGCCCATGGCGAGAATTTAAATTGCGCCCTCTTTAAAATATGAAAA